AATGGACACTGTAGTAATATGTGCATATTGATCTGTCCAAATAATTGCAGTGAGTATTAATTACAACTTACCGTTTTAGTGATTGCATTTAGTAAGTTTTTCATGCTGTTGTTTCTGAACACTCTTGTAATAAAATTAGAGAAACATGAATTACATGTATGTTTAATTATTTTGTTATCGTTTTCAGAAACATTTCTCCATAAATGCCCAGTAGGTTGCAGTAAGGTGGCCACCATGTTGCAGCAACATGTCCATTAAGTTGTAGTAACGTGTCCGAAAAGTTGCAGCAACGTGCCTTTAAAGTTGCAGAAACGTCCCATTTAGCTGCAACAACGTGCCCACAAAGTTGCAGCAATGCCTTATAAAGTTGCAGTAACGTCCCCATAAAGTTGCAGAAACGTGCCCATAAAGTTGCTTAAACGTGTCCAATACGTTGCTTTAACGTGTACAATAAGTTGCATTAACGTGTCCAGTAAGTTGCAGTGACGTCCCCAATTAGGTTGCAGTAACGTGCTAATCAAGTGGTAATCATGTCGCCAAAAGGTTGTAGAAACGTGCGTAGAAGTTGCTGTTATGTGTCAATTTGGTCGCAAATAACGTGGCGTCAAGGTGGTAATCATGTGCAATCACGACCAAACAAAAGTTGTGATGTATGTTGCTTTTACGTTGTGGAAACGTCATTGTAACGTTGCGTGATAACGTTGTAGCAACGCGCACGCGAGTCGACATTTTTACGTTGCCGCAACGTCATTTTCCTCACGTTGCGGCAACGAAAACCTGACCTTCTGGCAACGTTGTCACAACGTGAATGTGTTAGCTGGGTATAAAAGCCTTTTCTAAAAAGGGTCATTTGTAGACTAGTTTTTTTCGTGAAAATAAGACATTATGTGGGTTGAAGAGCACGGGGACATCATATTTACACTGTGTTCGAACTTGATTAGTTTTATATATTTCTCAACCTTAAAAACATCGTTTCTTTCTCCAGGTAGGCAGTACACAGGTATGCTATACGTGAGTGCACTGGCTGCAGGATGTGGCATGTTAAAACTTTTAACTTCAGCAGTCTTCGAGGGAGGAAGTTTCTAATTATTTTGAAAACCACCCCATACATCTCTTCAAGGTTGTTGCTGTAAGTAATTCAACATACACTGACCTTCTATACATGTATCTCTGTAAGATGGTGAAATTAACTTTTAAAATGTGTTGAAAATACACCTTGGTCGAAATTTGTTAAGTGATTACCTGACGTTTACCAGACACCTATATTAATTCAATTTATGTATTCATGAAATTTATCCATACTATAAAATTCAAGAACGTGAACCCAATGCATGCATACCCAAATCCTTCCAACTCAAAATTGTCATACTACCACGTCCGCCTTAACAAAGTCATTCTTGTTGAGTCATGCGCCAGAAAAGATGCGTACCCAATGCTCTCTAAAAATAACCAAAAAAACCCACACATTTTGCGTGAACCTCCCTGGCGAGAGCTGATTAATTTTCTAGCAGGTATTACTTCAATGTTGTGAAAAAATGCAATGAAGTTTATAATTTTTATCGTTAGATGTCTTTCAAAAATGAATAACTTGTATTTCGCAGGAAAATAACAGTTGAAAAAAGTAAATAAACTTTCGGGGTGAAACTCGAAAGTAGCGTATAGCAACGGATCTGTAATCAAAATAATTATGAATCAAATTAGGTTTTGCCCTTCACCGACGTATTGTGTACCCAGTGTGTATTCGCATAAAATAATTATGCGCATATCAAAACTGCTACTGGACGGTTCTTCTTAACATTTAATGAAATTGTTTCGTGTGAAATTTAAATTACTTTAAAAAAGCTTGAGCTCTTTGGTAATCAAATATTTTCTGTATTATATTCAGGTACCTGCATGACATGACATCGCATGAACTTTTAGAAATGGCAGCCGATTGTGCTTGGTTATCCAGAAGGGCCAAGATTCAAGGTACGTGTATTAAGAAACTAACCATCGCAGTCACTAAATTGATTGGTCAAAAGGTATGAGCGACAAACACCTTAAATACACTTCTGAAACGAGCACCATAGACCTAATGCAATGCCGACTACCAAGAACCAACATTTTGATCGTTACGTACATACATTTGAACATGAAGTTGTTTAGATTACATAAAAATGCGTAAAACAGGCTTGCGCTTTAACTCTCAACCAGGTTTTTGGTTACCCTTTAAATTTGAGAAATATCCTTGACTTCAGGGTCAACTTGAAACAAGAGGCTCATTTATTTTATCCCTGTCTCTCGTGGGTTAAAGATTGTACATGTAGAAACACAGGCACATCTCTGCTTGAAGTACATGTATTGAGAAGACAGACATTATCTGGATATACATGTAGTTTTAAATTTCACATCTGGTGAGCCAGCGTGACACGCAGTGAGTGTTTTAAGCCTAAGGCAGCAAACATTAAATAGTTTATAATGTTTGAATAATTGATACATTGTTGTTTGTTTTCCTTATTTTCTTGTCAGATTCGTGTCTTTGGAGAAGTGCCATATTGACAACCTTGCTGAACAAGGAATCCACTTTTTTCTTCATCTGGATAATCTTCTGTTAAAGGTTCCATTAAATGAATGTTACTCTACAACATAGATTGGGCAATTAGCCAATCTGCATGGAGGTATTCAAAGAAAATCACGTTGAAATGTCAATATTTTAAAATGCAGGTTTTTTGCGAGTTCCCTGCATACAAATATATCTTCACGAACAAACGCTATTCAAGTGTCCCTTTCAAGTGTTATTCGTTTTCATAGACTCTGTAGCTACAAAAAAAAACCAAAACAATTCCTTTGAGTTTTCTTTTGAAGATGTTCCATGGGAGAGAAAGAAAATGAAGGATCTAGATAGAGGACAGATTTAAAAAGCATGTGATTCAGTAGATTAAAAGTTGTCGGATCTATTTTATTTGTTCGATGTGAAAGTCGCCTTCCTATACTATATTTCTCATCACGGACAGTGGAAAACACTAATGTTCAAATACTATTTGAAACCATACTTTTGCTTGAATGTACGTTACGTATAGCACTGTGTATTTTTTATGAATTGATCCAATACATGAATAGGTATTCTCTAGTGCGGGTAACATTGTGATATGGAGCCCCTTTAAAGGTGATGTATAAAACCGGTGAGTGGCTAGGTCGCCGATAATAGCCCTTGCATTCCGGCTCTGGCTATGTTATTGGCGACCAGACCCTTTATCTTCTAATTGCTCAGTAACAACGTTATTGTCTTGTTGAAAGGTCGGTTCATACTCTGTGAAGTTACGGCAATTCACTTTGTGAAGTTACGGCAATCATTAACGGGAAAAAGAGTGAACCACATTTAACTCTGGGCAATTTTGAGTCAAATGGTTTCGATGTCAACATTTCAAAATTTGCTTTCACTTGAAGTATAAACCGATCGTTAGAGCTCAGCCCAGTCACTAAGGAGTGAATTCCTTAATGTGGATTCAAGTAAAAGACTTTAATTTTATACCATTCACGAAATGGACACTGAAGTAATATGTGCATATTGATGTGTCCAAATAATTGCAGTGAGTATTAATTACACTTACCGTTTTAGTGATTGCATTTTAGTAATGTTTTTACATGCTGTTGTTTCTGAACACTCTTTGTAATAAAATTAGAGAAACATGAATTAGATGTATGTTTAATTGTTTTGTTATCGTTTTCAGAAACATTTCCCATAAATGCCCAGTAGGTTGCAGTAAGGTGGCCACCATGTTGCTGCAACGTGCCTTTAAAGTTGCAGAAACGTCCCATTTAGCTGCAATAACGTGCCCACAAAGTTGCAGCAATGTCCTCATAAAGTTGCAGTAACGTCCCCATAAAATTGCAGTAACGTGCCCATGAAGTTGCTTAAACGTTTCCAATACGTTGCTTTAACGTGTACAATAAGTTGCATCAACGTGTCCAGTAAGTTGCAGTGACGTCCCAAATTAGGTTGCAGTAACGTGCTAATCAAGTGGTAATCATGTCGCCAAAAGGTTGTAGAAACGTGCGTAGAAGTTGCTGTTATGTGTCAATTTGGTCGCAAATAACGTGGCGTCAAGGTGGTAATATAACCAAAATAATGTACTGGGGAAACACGGAGAAAATCCCGCCAATTTATGTCATTTTTTTTTCTTTCACAAGAGGGCGCGCTATTGGTCACCAATGTACTGTGTACGTAAGTACAAAAGTATTGTCAACACGAAAAACCATGCCTCAAGTTCATGACACAAAAACGCTCTCGGTTCGACGATTCCTCACTAAATTCAACAGATTTGTTCAATCATCTGTATGTTTAATCAATTTATTAAATGTCGATTTCATGCAAATATGTATTTCTTGAGTTATCTTCTGGAAACCGAGTTGTTTTTGTGTCATGAAAGTTGACTAAAATCTCCAGTTATTTGTAGCAAGCTAGTTCTTTAACACACTACATTTCCGGAGTATATTAATTATATTTTTGACGGTTTCTCTCCAAATTCGCAAGTGATGTGTTGTGTATGATAACTTATCAGGAGATTCTATTTCAGTCCAATACAACAAGCATTTCTTGAAAAGTCGTCTCAACAACGAGTGTGTTGTTTTTGTTCCATAAACATATTGACTCAAATTCGCCTTGTATTTTGCGCGCTTACATGCCACATTGTCTTGGGTATATTTTGTATTATTGGTCAACAATTGATATCCAAATTCAAGAGATTTGATACATATATCACGTTAAATCGTTATGCAATATTTCAAATTAATGCACCAAGTACTTCTTGAGTTATCTCCTCGAAACCGATTGCATTGCTTTTTGTCATGAAAGTTGACTCAAGATCGCCAGTATCTTGAGCGCTTTAACACACTACATTTCCGGAGAATATTAATTATATATTTTTTTGATTTTGAAAAAAATACTTGATTTTGGACAATGAGTCATCTTTAATGCCAAAACCCAGTTACTAGTCCTTATCATTTGTTTGTAAAACTGTACGCATGCAGTACTGACATGCGTGAAATGTTTTGGTTAAATATGATTGTTCTATTTTGTGTAACAAAATGCTCTGCAACTAGTTCGAGAATACCATAGTCAGTGATAACTCTGTGTTAAGTTAAATTCATATAGACTGTTACTTTGGAGTTGAAAGAAATAAAATGTCAACTGCTTTTCAGGAAACACTGTGTTATTTCCAAACTTGTCTCTCCCATAGTTTTGAATTTCTTGATCCAATCATGGAGGAATAAACAATATAAAAAAAAGAATATTTTATATTTTTTATTCTATTTGATTCTGAAAACAACACTTCAATTTTTCTAACATAAGTTCAGTCAATTTATGTCTCGGGAATGTAAAAAAAAAAAGGGAAGAAAATTAAGTAACAATAAATTAATGTGGGACTCGAACCTGAGTCGCCTGATTGGGAGTCCGACGCCAGTCCACAAGACCATTAACGCACTGAAATGCTCAATCAGTTCTACTTAATTATAACTGTAACATAGGCTTATCGTGGCTTTTCACGTTGACGCCCATGCACGCTTAGACGTACATCGCAGCCTGACGATGTAAATCTGCTCGTTTGATTTGGAGTGTAGCTGTTCAAGTTGATCGAAATTTATTTGTTAAAGGGTAAAGGGTGTCAACTGAACTGAAATCGTGAACTTCAATGAAATAAAACTCGTACAATCTTTGGTTTCAGTACGAAACACACGTGTTCAACGGATGCAGAGAAGCCTATTTCTTTTGTTAAATTCCTTTGTTGAATCTTGCGTTAACAATAAAATGTTTCCATTGAGGCGAAAGGATTAAACGCCGCGATCTTTTTTCACGCTTGAGTGCCTCTGAATGGGGAATATTGAAGCGGAAAATCACGAATTACAGCACTTAGGCAGCATTTTATCCCACATAATGATAACTTTTTGGAGAGGAAATTGCATACTGAATACAACTGTATTTTCAAAATTCAAAAATTCATTTATTGTTTTTACAGATGAAATAAAGAAATGAAGTCAGAATATCACACAATATTGGAAAAGAATGTTGCAACCTGACGCCACTTCAGCGGTTGTGTGCAAAGTCTATGGAGCGTCAAGAAAAAAAGTATTTCTCAGTCCCAGATTCATTGTCTTATCATCATTTTTGCAATGAATGACTTCATTGAGATGATATGAAGAAAAAGCAGCATCAGGTTGCAACATTCTTTCCCATTATTGTACATGAAAAAAATATAGTATTGACAATGTGATAGATAGACGGAGAGGCTCTGCTGGCAGAAATTGTGTGCTTAGCAGCGCTATGAAATTGGGCTCAGTTCAAATCACTCATCTTCAATTTACACCCTAATTACCTGACAAACGTGCTCTGAAAACTTGTACATGTATATTTATATCATTATAAACCATTAATTAGTATAATTACATTACGTACAGATGACTGGAATAACCATTCCTGAATAACCATTCCTGGCCCATTCTCATGGCGTTGGGTTGTCTCTAAACAGGCCCCAGAAACTCCAAGAAAACAAACTTGCAGAGTTGTCCTACATGTAAGCAACATTTGTGACGTGAACATTCATAATTATGATGAACATTTCAATGCTGCCTGACTGACTGTCTGACCGAGTCACTGAGTATTAACTGATCGAGTCAGTCACTATTATCACTGACTGACCGAGTCACTGACCGAATCACTGACTGCGCGATGAGTCACTGACCAAGTCACTGAGTTGATGACAGCCACTGAGTCGCTCAATGAGTCACTGAGTGATTCCTTAACCGAGTCGCTGACCGAATTAATGACTGAGTCACTGACTGAATCACTGAGTCGCTGATCGAGTCACTGAGTCGCTCACTGAGTCACTGACTGAGTCACTGACTGAATCTGACTGAATCATGGAGTCACTGATCGAGTCACTGAGTTGTTGACTGAGTCACTGACTGAGTCACTGACCGAATCTGACTGAATCATGGAGTCGCTGATCGAGTCACTGAGTTGTTGACTGAGTCACTGACTGAGTCACTGACTGAATCTGACTGAATCATGGAGTCGCTGATCGAGTCACTGAGTTGTTGACTGAGTCACTGACTGAGTCACAGAGTCCAGCTTAACTAGGCAAGTCTTCTTTGTTTATGCCATGAGAGACCAGCCTCTCTCCAGAACTGTTGTTTTCTCCTGCATAACCATCTTGCCAAAGCTAAATAGAGAAATTTCAAGGCAAATTTCCCATGCGTCAAGAATAATTAAATCACCCCTAATCAACAGTATCGTTCCATTATTTTATTTTTGGAAAATCCCTTTGCAAGCAGGGGTTTTTGGAATGTACAAATTTAAACAATCTCAAGACTATAGGATAGGGACCACCTCAGGAAACTGGTACCCTGTTGTCCTTGGCCCACTTCTTCATGACACGGATGATGTATTCCACCTGCGGGTTACCGGTGTTGCGCAAGATTTGGAGGATGTCTCGCAGTGTTTCTCTGTAGAGGAAAAAAAATGACAAAAATCTAGTGGCTTGAACTTCACTGGGTTTTGTGCACATGAAAATGAAAGCTATTAACAAGATGGACTTTGCGTCGGGGTGATGTAAATCAATGTTAGGATTTGCCCTTCACCGATGTATAAACACTGTATACTCAGTGTGTTACCTCCCGAGTGAAAGTTGGAAAAATAATCACTTGGGTGGGATTCGAACCCACGACTCGACCATGGAGCTTACGGGGTTGGTTGGCTGGCCAGGCAACCAATTCTGTAAGCTTGATGGTCCAGTGGTTAAGACGTCTGCACTAACAAGCAGGAGGTCATGGGTTCAAGTCCCAACCAAGTAATTTTTTCAACTTTAACTCGGGAGGTAATGCACTGAGTATACAGTGTTTATACGTCAGTGAAGGGCAAAACCTAATAGTGAAAATGAAAGCTGTTTATAGAATTTAGGGGGAAAAAGGAAAAATCCATAAAGATAAATGAATTTGAACTAGAGGGCTAAGAAGTTGAGAAGTATTCATGAAAATTTGTAATAAAAAGCCGCATCCTCTCTGAGTGATCCCCGTTTGATATTTGCCAGGTCTGCATCGTGACTTTGGGCGTGATCCCTGGCTGCATGGCATATGCGGGTTGAGGGCTTCTGACTAGCGCCCCTTTGACAGAGACATTGACAATTAGGGAACCGCCAACATTGGGCTGGATAGCTCAGTTGGTAGAGCACCGGAGTGATATACTAATTGAGATGTAATTGGTCAGTACGCACTGTTTGATCGATGTATGTGGTCACCTGACCAAAGGTTGAGATTTGTGGTCAGTGTGCACTGCTGATTGACAGAGATGACACCCACCTTGGTTCATGACCAGCTATGATCTGCTGGAATACGCCCAGTCGCACGCCCCTCGCTTGCCTTCCCAGTATTCAGGATTGGGGTCCAATCTTTCCAGGACATCGAAAGCCTTGGTCGCATAGTAGAACTGGCCATCTACCGATAGAAAAGATGAGATTTGAGGATCGAGAGACCGTGACAATTATATGTTGAGGTCGAGCAAAAAACATCAGAAGTTCGAACGAAAAGCCTGTAGTTTTCGATCATATCGCCACCGTGTTGACAAAGTGATGAATTTGTCCCAAATCAATTTTTTTTAAGCAGTTGGGATTTTTGGCTATTCTAATATTTTATGATGCCCTCTACATGCTTACTAAAGTTTGCGACACAAAAGTGCATCCTTCATAATTCAAGCTAATGACACAAAGTCGTAAATGTGCAACGAATAATTTTTTTTCTTTTTTGATGGGGATTCGTATTCTCGTTGATTTTACACGTGGGAAACAATGTTGCAACCTGACGCCCTTTTTGTCTTCACACATCATCTCAATAAAGATCTGTCATTGCAAAAATGTTTCACAAACTTGAAAATGGGACTGAGAAACACTTCCAATTTGGTTCAGAAATACTTGGAAAGTTTTCTTGACTCTCCATAGACTTTGTACACAACCGCTGAAGTGGCGTCTGGATACTGCATTCTTTGGACGAAGTGACAAATGTATTTCGTGAAATCGGCTGCAGGTTTAGATTGAGTGACTGGATACTAATTTGGGGCTAATGTCAAAATCTTGACAAAACATACAACGGACAAAAATAGGGGATGATGTTTTACCTTGTAGCCGTCGTTGGCAATGAGCTACAGCAGGCTGAACGATTCGCCAGACGTCTCCATCTTAAGGTACAACTCCCAGGCTAGTCTGGCCTTACGATTCATGATGTCTGAACAACGAAAACAACACAAAGAAAGGTTATAAATACATAGGATACTGCTGTAAGAAAACACATTGGGGTCCACAAAAGATGTTCGGTTCAGTGGATGCTCGTTTCAGCAATTTTCGGCCAGCAATGCTCAGTGTAACTGTGTACAATATTTGGGAGCCAAGAGGGATGTTCAACGTAACAAATTTCTGTCGTACAATTTGCTTGAAATGTGATAGAACAAATCCAACATGGCAAATGTATGACTAAGATGTGAAGTTTACACGTGTATAAACGAAAAAACTTCTTAATCCGTTTACAAATTTCTCAAAACATGTAAACCAGAATTATAGAAAAGGGAATTCTGTTCACGCGATCTTCCTTGGAGATAACCACACATAGCACAAATAATTAACGTTGTTTTCAAACCTACTTAATTTACAAAACCTTAGAAGCACCGTAGTACTTGACTACATTTGGGGAACACGTAGTTACATTTTTACTTTATCAACGACTGCCTGCTATTTACTATGTCAACCATTGTTGATTTATCATGTCAATCACGCCGGTCTGCAGATCAGACATAATGGGTAAGCAAAAGCCACTGTCAATGGCTAAACGTTTAAAACGGTTCTTAAAATATTTGCTTAACGTTTACAAAATGAAACGCAAAGTCACATCCTTAATATACGATCAGGGCGATGATTGCATGCTGGTTATGTCATTGTTAGAGACCCTTCAGTCTACCTCACACATGGGCAACATGTGCATCTCCCTAATGCCACTCTGGATTTTCCAGCAGTACATGAAATGCATGCACGCGACGTGTCCTGACTTTAGTTGGACATTTGGTTGTGCAGTCACAATTGTGAGTGGTCAATACATTATGAGTTGAGGCTTAACAGGTGGATTCATTCCCATCATTAGCAACTTGGAAGTTGGAAGAGGAAACGTCATTCACAATTGACGGTAATACTCACAGCATCTTGCCAACCAGAGACACGTGTAGTCATTCTTGATCTTCTCACTCTGAATGAGCACAAAAATCTGGGAAACAAGAGAAACGAAACCCACTCCAATTAAATCATGGTAAAACCAATTAAGTGCCCCACCAAAACAGTGGTCTAGGAGGCACAGCAAGATCCCCATCCGGGTTTTAGACTTGTTTTTTTTTTATGCCTATTCGCCCTGAACAAGGCTACAAGCCACTCCAGATATACAGGGCTACAAGTCAGCGCAAAGCAGCTAAATCAACCACACCATCTCTGCCCTCATAGGCACCCACTTATAAGCCATCAGTGTGGGGGTTTGGTCAGTATCAAATGAGGGGAATAATGCTCATTGTGATTTTTGGCAAGGTATGCACCCCTCTTAAGTCAGAAAATATGTGACAGCATTGCAGCGGTGGCAGCTTTTTGGGTGCTATCACTTGTTTACTTTTTTTTTAAATGGCAGCCAAAACATGCTTGTTACAACATACAATTGATCCGGTTCAAGCATATTGACGGCCATTTTGAAAACACAAATCAAAAGTGATAACACTGCCACCACTCACACTGCAAAGCTATCACACATTCTCCAACTCTAGATGTGCCTTTCAAAAAAATCGCTATGAGCATTGCTCTTTTCGATCGTCTGCCGGTGGCCCAATTTTTGGACCAAAGCAGAGAGCCTATTACTCCTGGGTGGGGAGAAGCAATGAGTGACAAAGTGCCTTGCCCAAGGGCACACGCACCATGACCCCAGGCTGGACTCGAACCCACAACCTGCAGCTTTATCCACAGACCACGAATCCAACGCCCTTAACCACGAGGCCACAGCACTCCACACTCCTCTTGAATCAGGACAGATCATAGGTTGGAGGGAAATAAGCACCAGGCAAGGAATTCCTAAGAGATGCAGCACGTTGGAAAACAAGCTATTGCAATATCTTTTTGTTCTACATCTAGGTATACGGCAACAGTATATGGATGAGAACAGACAGAAAGTCGGGCTTCTCTCTCAAACAGGGCCGACCATCGGTGGAAATTGATACAAAATTCCACTTTTCTTGAAAATAACAGCACACCAGGTGCCGTGATTTCACAGGATGCTTGAGACTATTATTCCCTAACAGTCAGGTATTTCATAATAACTTGGTAGTTTTGGTTTTTGATGTTTGCAAATGAAAGGCACCATGACTAGTTCAGGCACCATGACGAGTCACTGCGCCATGACTGGCCAACTATTGAGGGCGCAACAACAAAAATTGGGTCCGGGAGTCCAACCTACCTCCTCTGCTTCCTTGTAGTTGCCTGCTGTGGCTTTGGCCTGCGCATAGTTGTAGTTGAACCTATCGTCCTTGTAGAAGTAACTCTAGAAACGTAAACACACAAAAATGTCATCTTAGTTTTTCTGATAATTTTCCCACCTGCACTACTTTTTCCCCCCAAAAAAGGACAAATACAGCTAAACCATGCCACAGAAACAACTATGAGCAAGTTGGGGCGAGACTAGTGGTCGATTCCTGACGTAATTTGATGCCTGAGCACTAATATCAACATGCAAACGCCTCTAGTCAGACAATGGTCAAAATTGTTCACCAAATAAAGAGAATGGTCAAGAATAATTCCAAAAAAAATTTGGTCCTGAATAATAGAGGGTGATTGGCAATAAATATTGTCAGGTTTTTGGAGAAAAGTTCAAAAACGAATAGTGTCTAACATTAAATGCATTAGATAAAATGACCTGAGAGCAAATATGCAGTCCTATGCCCCCTGTCTGTCTGGCCTCAACTCCATTTTCAAAGCTGTTGATGAAATAAAATGAATCAATAAACATTACTGCAACTTTCCTAAAAAATATAGCGGTGCTGTTGAAACCCCTCGGCCTGAGTTTGTTGATATAAGGTGCAAAATTACAAGTACATGTAGTAGAATAGTTAACACTGGTCAATGGAATGACCTATACCTTGACCAATGACGTTGACCTTTGACCTTTTGACCCCCAAATCAATCCAAACTTGATTTTCCTGAAGGGCAACCCCTGAAGTTACAAACCCGAATCATATTTCTAACTCAAATTATCATCGGGAAACAATTTACCTTCAACTCACCACTGATATACTCACCCAAAAATAAGAAAATAATTTTCTGACATACTTCTAGTTGGGTAAAGATATATGATATTTATTAATTAGAATTTGTTAACTTTAAATAACTTTTTTAGTGTTAACCAGGAATTTTCCAAGATTTATAATGCAAGTGCGCTATGTTAGGGAACACTAAAACTGATTTTTGGCCAAATTTTCGGTCGCCACCGTTTATAAATTTTGCTCAAATTGTATGACAGTGAAATTGTTTACAGAATTTAAATGGCAAACACTATTGAAAAAGTACCAGTAATAACTGAATGAATTTGAAGTTTATCAACAAAGAAGTTTGGCAACCGTGCATGAGGAAAGTCAGGAGAAACGTCGCAGTGCGCCACGTTAGGGAACACCACTATATGTGTGCATTGATACTGGGTTCTTAATTGGGGTAGGTGCGGTGAACTAAAAACAATAGGTCCTGGCCCTGCTGACTATATGACTATACAATCATGGAGCTATAAAAAGAGGTCTTACCCAACAATGTATGCAAAGCATTCAAAAATACTCCGGAAAGACTCCCATACCTCAGACGTCACTGACCAACAAAGACTAGGAAATGTCCTTTGACATGTTTTCTCAGTAGGCATGCCATGGTAGCAACTTTTCCCTGCTATAAATCTGACGTTTTTGGACATATTATCCCTTTAAATGGTGATATAGGTCACTGTAGGGAAAAATTAGGTAATCCTTACTTTTAGGACACCTCTATTTTTTACGAGTTCTGTTCAAAACTGACTTTTGCAAATGTATGTCCAGAACCAAAGTGACTTTTGCAGGCTAAAGCAGTCCTTAGAAGTCAAGAAGGTGTCATTGCCAATTGTTCAGATGTGCCAAGAAGTATCAGAATGTCAATTTTGAGTGTCATTTAGTCAACTGTTTTGGCGAGTCTTTCCCTTCCTATATAGGAACGGGGTCCTAAAAGTAAGGATTACCAAAAATTAGTGATGTCCAGATATATGGGAATCTTTCCAGTACGCCGAAAAGAAGTTGAATTTTGAGAAATAAATAGTCCAGACTTACCTGACGTACAGGCCTATATAGCCTACCGCTGCATTATCTGCTGCATAATGTTGATCGATAACCAAACAACAGGTGGCGCTCTTTACAATTAACAGTGTCAGGTACAATCTCATTCAAGTGATGTTGAGCGGTACGCGTTGCCATGGTGATACGTCATCAGTGTGCTCTGCATCCTGTATGTGCTCCACAGTTGACATCCTTGGTAGAACCTTCAAACTCTGTCAACTTCAAGAAACAAAGCAAAACAAGTTATTTTAACATCTTAACCTTCTATTTCATAAGGTTTAGTTCAAATATTGTTTTCATCCACTATTTTTGGAAAGGGCATTGTTTGAAGAATTTGGTTGACAATAATTACTGTGAAATTTGAGAACAATTTCCCAAAAAACTGACAAATTTACAAAAGATAAAAATGGGGCCTGTAGGGCCTGACCATACTTCCTGAACTTAGTTTAAAACCCTTACACTTACAGTTCTGAAAGAATTACTATACAATCATGGAGCAATAAAAAGAAAGTCTCACAATGTATGCAATTAAAGCATTAATAACCCCCTAGGCCCTTTTTGCTTAGAACCATCCTCAATCCTCCAAAATTTTGCAACTCCGCCTAAATTTTTCAAAATTGTCAGACAGTCCTGCCTCAAAATGCATTCATCGTCAATCCTCCAAAATCCTCCTCATCCCAAAATTTTGCACTCGTGTTTAAATGAAGGATAACCAACGCCAAATCCTTCAAAATCATCCGAGACAGTCCTGCCTCAAAATGCATTCATCCTCATGGAGGAAATTCCTCCAAAATCCTCTTGTGCTTCAATCACCATTCATCCTCAATCCTCCAGAATCCTCATTTGATTCAATCAATATATTCATCCTCAATCCTCCAGAATCCTCTTGTGATTCAATCACCATTCATCCTCAGTCCTCCAGAATCCTCATGTGCTTCAATCACCATTCATCCTCAATCCTCCAGAATACTCATTTGATTCAATCACCATTCATCCTCAATCCTCCAGAATCCTTCTATGCTTCAATCACCATTCATCCTCAATCCTCCAGAATCCTCATTTGATTCAATCACCATTCATCCTCAATCCTCCAGAATCCTCCAAAACCGCCAGGAGGATTTTGGAGGAGTGAGGTGGGTAAAGGTTAAAAAATACTCCGGAAAGATTCCATACCTGGAGTTCTGGACATTTAGTGAAATGTCCTTGGTGTTTTTTTCAGACAGTAGGATGCTGGCAGTGCCAGTAAGCATGTAGGATGGAACGCCGTATTATCGCGATACTTATCACGTTTCTTGTTTGGAATAGAGATTGCTTGCTAACCTTCCCGAATTGTCCTGTCTCTTAGGTTGTATAACTCTTCCTTTTCAAATGCCTGTGAAAATAGACATGCTCGGAATGTGCGAATGGAGGTGGACTCCCCATTATCGCGGTATGTGGGAATTGTGGTTTTTATAATAATCTCAACTTTTTTTTTTCATAGTGAATGTTTTACCAAAACATCCCCTGAATAAAGTCTGATATTTTCCCTGTAACGTTCAAGTTGATTACACTTTGAAAGACTATATCCCTGCAGGATGATTTCTTAAAACCCTGCCATTCCCCGAAAGGAGAAGAAAAATCACTGTGACAAGTCTACTGATTGGCGATTGGGTGCCATTCACTTTACACGGTGTGCCGTTTTATTTTTTCTTACGCGCTGTCCTTATTTTGATCCCGTAAAAGTTTTTATGATTTCGCGGTGGAAATATCCTCCTTTGACTTCATTTTGTGTTTGCAGCTGTAGAAGGAGAACCAGACAATGGAACTATCATGGACAGAGCACCATTAATGATTTATGTTAAAATATAGACGGTACCTTTTAGTTTTCGAAGTGGCTATCGTTACGGCATTCGTTGTTTAGCGCCCTCTACGATACTTTTTTGATACGCACGCAGGTATATAATTATTTGTTTCCCCACGTGCAGGTGAGCAGTGCGACAGCTCAGTCGATAGACTGTAGGATTTTGCACCGCGAGGTTGCGGGTTCGGATCTCAGTTTTGCACTCGAATTTTTTTCCTTTTCTAACCTGAGGCTTTGGAGGATTTTTTTTAAAAGGGAAATAAAGTCCGAATTTTATAACGTTCAAATTCACTTTTGTCCTTATTTTATATTTTCCTGTCATGTTTTTATAAAAGTTGCAGTCTACTGTAACGATAGAAAATGGGAGGTGCATTACGGCTGCCGTAACAATAGCCACTGCGTTTAGTTTTAACAGACACGGTGACGGGTGAGGGAAAATTTGCAGGTTTTGGAAAATGTGAATATTTATTAAAAATCGTTAAAAGTCCCAAAAAACACAACATTTTTTAATCGTCCTTTTTTAATACGACTCGGCAGTAAGTCCTTATGGCCTGGAGGACCTGGATAAAAATTGCCACTTAAAGGAGTTTAGTCAACACAAAAGGAGAAATTGGCCATGCCGCGATAAAGGGATGCCGCGATAAAGGGATGCCGCGATAAAGGGATGCCGCGATAAGGGACTCCGACTATAGTTTTTAGGTAACAAATTTCCCTGCTAAATCCAATATTTTTGGACATTTTAAACCGGAATTGTGGCATAAATCACTAAAGGGAGAAATGAGTAATGTCCAGATATGGGAATCTTTCCAGTACGCCGAAAGGAAGTTGAATTTTGACAAGTAAATAGTCCAGGCTTACCTGACAAAACATGCTTGGTGTACAGGCCTAGCCTACCGCCACATACATCGGGAAAACCAAACAACAGGTGGCGCTCTTCACAATTAACGGTGTCAAATACAATCTCGTTTACGTAGTGTTGAGCGGTACGCACTGACAGGTACTTAATACAGGAAAGAAAGTTACGACATAAAGTTAACCCTGGGGACAGGGTTGCGAAAAAGTTTCGAAGTCCGAATTTTCCCATCATGCATTGAGAAATGTCAATTCCTTTCTCGGTTATTCGTTTTCCGTTTTGCTTTCGAGTCGAGAAATGGGAATCGTTATTCGTTATCCGTTTAACTGTCGAATAGGAAAGTGGGAATCGTTATTCGTTTTCCGTTTGGTTGTCGAATAGGGAAATGGGAATCGTTATTCGTTACCCGTTTTGCTGTCCAGTGTCGAGAATGGATTTTGGACTCGAAGTCCGTTATCCGTTTTTCTTTTTGCTTAGGAAATGGGAATTGGTTTCGTTATCCGTTTTTCTTTTTGCTTAGGAATTGGGGAAGTGGGTTTCGTTATCCGTTTTTCTTTTTTGCTTAGGAATTGGGAAATGGTTTCGTTATCCGTTTTTATTTTTGTTCAGTCACTTGACACCGTTAATTGTGAAGGGCGCCGCCTGTTGTTTGATGATATCCCATTATTGTCCGACTACACATGCATGGACTATAGCGCATGCAGACAACAACTCGATTTAAACCTGATAACGTTAGTCACGTCAAACTCTAGACTTTTTATTCACACTAATTAGGCCTAGTCAATTAGTAGGCAGAGCATTTGAAGAGTACATTTGCAAAAGCAGATAAGAGCCAATTTTACAAAATTGGAGAAAACCCACCATTCACCAACTAAATATTTTCCCTGAACACCTACCGTATAAATGTCATGATAAAGAGTGGGTGATTTGTCTTTTTTATGTGAACAATTTGAGAGAAAGATTTTTTTTTTAATTATTATTTTAGTAGAGTATTAATTTCTTTAGTAAATATAGATGCTAAGCTTTAAGGGGAAACATTTTGTCCCGCCTTTCATACAGGGTGAGCAGAGTACACATTGGATGGAGCTTCTGACAGACTCTCAGGAGAAATGGGTGGATGTTCAGAAGATCAAGGCATTCCCAGCCATGGTAGCAAGCCCTACGCTAAGAACCAGGGCACAGGCACTCATGCAGGTAGGTTTATGAGGGGGATCAGGGTCAGACCTGAGTATGCGTGGATAGCTCAAGTTTTCTGCATTTTGATGAGTTGTGTACCTTTTGACAACAACACGCGTTTCAGACTAGCATTTAGATAAGTGCCAAACTAAATTATTCCAAAGAGTTGAATTAAGTTTGACGTTTGAAACATTGAGGAGCAACTACATATGAAAGTCGTCCAAAGATTGAGTGTTGCAGTCGTTCAGAATGACTCCAGCGTCTGATCAATGGAAAATTAATACAAGAACTTTGCCCGTGTTTGAAACTTGAATCTATTTAAGTTGAGTTTAGTTGAGTTAAGTTAGGGACTCTGGAACACCAGTTTTAAATGGATTGAGGTACTGTTTGATAACTTCGGTCTTTTAAGTCGAGTCTGCTTGACGAGTGAAGCAGTCTGCGATATAAGTCGAGTATGAGTTGAGCATTTTTTTGACAAGTAGACTTCTTTTTACTGAGTACTACTTGATGAGTCGATTCATTTGTTTTCAATGAATCCTGAGGTTTTGTATTAGTTGAGTACCTTTTTACAAGTCTTGTGTACCTCTGGTGAATTATTTTAATGAATATTTCGATGAGTATTTTGAGTACCGAAATGTGTACTCACAGTTGAGTGCTTGAAGAAGACTTTGCGGAATGAATTTTGATGAACAGTTTGAGTAAAATGCAAGCAGGTCTTTAAAAAATTAAGTCAAAGTGGCAAAATGTATAACAAGATCGTTAAACCAGATTTGTCCAGATTTGCAGCGCTAACGTTAGTCTTTTCCAAGACCTGGACACAATTTATTTTGAGCAAATGCATTCAAATTTTCCTTCCTGATTGGTTTCCGTCTAGATTGGTGGGTTGGGTAAGATCAAGACTAGGGCTATAAATGAGGAGACTAACCATCATTGCTAGGAGGATATCTTTTAGAAGTGATAATTGAGGAGACTTACCATCATGGCCAGGAGGATATTTTTAGAAGGGCTAAATGATGAGACAAACATCATTGCTAGGTGGATATTTTTTTAGAAGTGATAATTGAGGAGACTAACCATAACGGCTTGAAAGATATTTTTTGAGAAGGAATAATTGAGGAGACTAATCATCACGGCTAGGAGGATATTTTTTTCAGAAGGGATTATTGAAATAAAAACTATCATGGTTAGAGGATATTTTTAGACGAGATTATTGTACAGACAAACCATCAAGTCTTGGAAGATATTTTTAAGATGTGATCATTGAAGAGACTAACCATCATGGCTAGGAGGATATTTTGAGAAGTGATAATTGAGGAGACTAACCATCATTGCTTGGAGGATATTTTTTTAGAAGGGATAATTGGGGAGACTAACCATCATGGCGGGGAGGATTTTTTTAGAAGAGATAATTGAGGAGACTTATCATCACGGCTGAGGGGAAATTATTTTAGCAGGAATTATTGAAATGACAACCATTATGGATTGGAAGAAATATTTTAGAAGGGATAATTTTGGAGACTAATCGTCACGGCTAGGAGGATATTTTTGAAGGGATAATTGAGGAGATCAACCATCATTGCTTGGAGGATATTTTTTGAGAAGAAATAATTGAGGAAACTTATTATCACGGCTAGGAGGCTATTTTTTTTTTGAGAAAGGATAATTGAGGAGACGAACAATCATGGCTAGGAGGATATTTAAGAAGAGATAATTGAGGAGACTTATCATCACAGTTAGGAGCATATTTTTAGAAGGGATTATTGAATGAAAACCATCATGGCTCGGAGCATATTTTTTTGAATGGATTATTGAGGAGACTAATCATCTTGACTTGGAGGATATTTTTTAGACGAGATTAGTAAACACAATCCATCACGGCTTGGAAGATATTTGTTAAGAAGGGATAATTGAGGAGACTAACCATCACAGCTAGGAGGATATTTTTAAGAAGGGCTTATTGAAATAAAAACCATCATGGCTTGGAGGATATTTTTCAGACGAGATTATTGAACAGACAAACCATCACGGCTAGAAAGATAATTTTTAGGAATGATCATTGAGGAGACTAACCATCATGGCTACGAGGGTATTTTTTAGAAGGGTAATTGAGGAGACTAACTATAATGGCTAGGAGGATATGTTTTAGAAGAGATTATTGAACACACAATCCATAACGGTTTGGAAGATATTTTTTTGAGAAGGGATAATTGATGAGACTTATCATCACGGCTTGGAGGATATTTTTTAGAAGGGATGATTGAGGAGACTATATAACCATCATGGCCATGAGGATATTGTTTAAGAAGGAATAATTGAGGAGACTAACCATCATGGCTCGGAGTTTTTTTTTTAGAAGAGATGATTGAGGAAATTTATCATCTTGACTTGGAGGATATTTTTAGAAGAGAATATTGAACACACAATCCATCACGGCTTGGAAGATTGAGGAGACTAACTATAATGGCTAGGAGGATATGTTTTAGAAGAGATTATTGAACACACAATCCATCACGGCTTGGAAGATATTATTTGAGAGGGATAATTGAGGAGACTAATCATCACGGCTAGGAGGATATTTTTTAGAAGGGCTTATTGAAATAAAAACCATCATGGCTTGGAGGATATTTTTCAGACGAGATTATTGAACAGCCAAACCATCAAGGCTTGGAAGATATTTTTTAGGATTGATCATTGAGGAGACTAATCATCACGGCTAGGAGGATATTTTTTAGAAGGGATTATTGAAATAAAAACCATCACGGCTTGGAAGATTTTTTTAGATGTGATTATTGAGGAGACTAACCATCATTGCTAGGAGGAATTTTTTTTGTAAAGGGATAATTGAGGAGGCTAATCACCACGGCTAGGAGGTTTTTTTTAAGGGATAGGCCTAACTGAGGTGACTTTTCATCACGGCTAGGAGGATATTTTTAGAAGGGATAATTGAACAGACAAACCATCACGGCTTGGAAGATATTTTTTAGATGTGATCATTGAGGAGACTATAACCATCATGACTAGGAGGATATTTTTAGAAGGGATAATTGAGGAGATTAACCACCATTGCTAGCAGGATTTTTTTTAAAGGGATAATTGAGGTGACTTATCATCACGGTTAGGAGGATATTTTTAGAAGGGATTATTGAAATGAAAACCATCATGGCTTGGAGGATATTTTTAGAAGAGATAATTGAAGCGACTAACCATCATGGCTTGGAGGATATTTTCTAGAACAGATAATTGCGGAGACTCACACTCATGACAAGGAGGTATTTTTTAGAAGGGATTAATGAAATGAAAACCATCATGGCTTGCAGGATATTTATTCAGAAGGGATAATTCAGGAGACTAACCATCACGGCTTGGATGATATTTTTTAGAAGGGATAACTGAGGAAACTAACCAGCATGAATGGGAGGATGTTTTGTTCTAGAAGAGATTATTGAACACACAAACCATCACGGCTTACCAGCTATTTTTTTTAGAATAGATAAAATTGAGGAGAGTAATCATCACGGCTAGGAGGATATTGTTTTAGAAGGGATAATTATTAAGGAGACTAACCATCATGGCTAGGAGGATTTTTTTCTAAAGGGAGAATTATTGTTGAGACTAATCATCACCGCTAGGAGGAATATTTTGAAGGGATTATTGAAATAAAAACCATCATGGCTTGGAGGATATTTGTTAAGAAGGGATAATTGAGGAAACTAACTATCATGAATGGGAGGATTTGTTTTAGAAGAGATTATTTAACGCACAGACCATCACGGCTTGGAAGCTATTTTTTAGAATGGATAATAATTGAGGAGAGTAATCATCATGGCTTGGAGGATATTTTTTAGACGAGATTATTGAGCAGACAAAGC